TGGGGGAGGGAGGGTTCTTGTTAATGGTGGTGTTCTTAGATTCCACATAAAATGAGATTATACAATATTTGTCTTTCTCTACCTGCCTTATTTCACTTAGCATAATGTCCTCAAGATCCATCCTTGTCACAAATGGCATGATTTCCTTCATTTTTAATGGCTAAATAATATTCCACATATACACCACAATTTCTTTATCCACTCATCTATCAATGGACACTTGGTTTGCTTTCCTATCTTGGCTATTGTAAATGATCTGCAATTAATATGGGGGTACAAATATTTTTTCAAGTTAGTGTTTTCATTTTCTTCAGATAAATGTCCAGAAGTGAAACTGCTAGATCCTATAGTAGTTCTGTTTTTAATTTTTTGAGGAATCTCCATACTGTTTTCCATAGTAACTGGACCAATTTACATTCCCACCAACAGTGAACAAGGATCCCCTTTTCTCCAAATTGTCACCAACACTTGTCATTTCTTTGTTTGATAACAGCCATTCTATGAGGTATAAAGTGATATCTCATGATGATTTTGATTCGTATTTCCCTTATGATTAGTGATTCTGAGCACCTTTTCATGCACCTGTGGGCCATCTGTATGTCCTTTTTGGAAAAATATCTATTCAGATCCTCTGCCCATTTTTAAATCAGATTGGGGGGGTTTTTTTGCTATCAAATTGTATGAAAAGGCTTAATTCTTAAACTTCATATAGTGTTAAGTACTCAAAACTAAACTGAGATAGATCTCCCAAGCAGGTTATAAAAAATTAATGAATAAACAGTCCTAAACATTAGATCTCAATATATACAATGGGCTAAAGATAGTTTATTCAAAAATCAGCATTGGGAAAATTGGACAGATACGTGCAGAAAAATAAAACTAGACCACCCTCTTACACCACACACAAGAATAAATTCAAAATGATCAAAGACTTAAATGTTAGACCCAAAACCATAAAAATCCTAGAAGAAAACTTAGGCAGCAAAATCTAGGACATTGCTCATAGCAATTTTTTATCGGATACATCACCCTAGGCAAGGGAAACCAAAGAAAAAAATAAATGGGACTACATCAAACTAAAATGTTTTTGCACAGCAAAGGGAATCATTAACAAAATAAAAAGACAACCCACAGAATGAGAGAACATATTTGCCGCTCTATCTGATAAGGGGTTAATATCCAAAATTTACAAAGCACTTATAAAATTCAACACCAAAAAAAAACCCAATTAAAAAAATGGGCAAAGGACCTAAACAGACACTTCTCCAAAGAAGACATACAGATGGCCAGCAGATATATGAAAAGATGTTCAACGTCACTAATCATCAGAGAAATGCAAAATAAAACCACAATGAGGTTCCATCTCACACTTGTCAGAATGGCTGTCATCAATAAATCAACAAACAACAATGCTGGCGAGGACGTGGAGAAAGGGGAACTCTTGCCCTGTGGGTGGGAGTGCAGACTGGTGCAGCCACTGTGGAAAGCAGTATGGAGATATCTCAAAAAATTAAAAATGGATCTGCCTTTTGACCCAACAATCCCACTTCTGGGAATATAGCTGAAGGAACACAAAAGACTAATTTGAAAGAACAGAAGCACCCCGCCTTTCATTGCAGCATTATTTACAATCACCAAGATACGGAAGCAGCCCAGGTGTCCGTCAATACATGAGTGGATAAAACCACTGTAGGACATTTACACAATGGAATACTACTTGGCTGTAAAAAAAGAAGAAGAAGAAGAAAAGTTTTACCTTTTGTGACAGTTATGGATAGACCTAGAGAACATTATGCTAAGTGAAATAAGACAGTCAAAGAAAGACAAACACCATATGATCCCGCATACTCATATGTGGAATCTAATGAACAAACTGAACTAACAAGAAAAATGGGGACAGACTCATACATGGAGAGTAGGATGGCAGCTAGTGTGGGGGAGGGGAGGTTAGGGGGTGGAGAAATAGAGGAAAAAGGACTCAGGCAGGGACCACAGTGTGGTGATTGCTGGGGGGAGAGGGGTGTAAGGGGACTAAAAGGTAATGTAAAAAAATACAATAAATAATTAATGCAAATTTAAAAAAATAAAAAGCAATTCTGAGAAAATAGAAAAAGATTAGATCTCACACAACTTCTCTGTGTATTCAAATTTCCTACTATCCCCACAGATACAATTTTATTCTGCAAGTACTTTAAAAAGAAATAAAATGTATGATACTTAAAATGGCACTTTAAAAAAGATCAAAAATGAGAACACAACCCAAACAACATTTCAAGGAAATGAAATAAAACAATTCATTTTTAGATAACAGGTGTTTTTGGTACTATATACTGTCATCAAAGGGTCAAAGTATAAAGAAGCACCTGAAAGTGATTTATATACTGTCATCAAAGGGCCCAAGTATAAAGAAGCACCTGAAAACCTGTAGAATGCTATGTGGAAATGTGTTCTGTTATAGCTGTAGTTACAGTAGTTACAGAGTGATCTTAGTCCAGCAGAGACGCTCTAGAAGGAGACTACTTGAGTTTTACGATTCATGTATGATTCAGAATCAGATTAGAAAAATCATTCCTTTTTAAGAAGAGAAATGCCACTGCTAAATTCAATATGCTCCTCAGAAACAACGAAAAAATTCATTTCCATTTACAAACACATTAGAATTTCTAGTGGACGTCTTATTAGAATATATAGAGAAGCTAGTCAGTGAACTTTAGATCAAATGCTTAATACCTACTTCTAAGGAAAGCAGTATTGCAAAAAACACTGATAGGAAATGGCAAGATGAAACATGTCTGGCATATGATAGACAAATTGGAGCCATTTTCTGAAAACTCTGGGAAAAAGAAGAGATGAAAATCAAAACAGCCTCTGTAGATGGCTACAGAGGACTTCGATTACATATTCAATCCAAGCACTATAAGTATAAATAAGGAAGGAGAAATGAGAAACAATGAAGAGGAAAAAAAATGAAAGGAATACAATAACAAATTGAAAAAAAATTTTCTGATAAAAAATGCCTAAGATCTCATACCAAACTCAAACATTAACTCAAAATGGTTCACAGACCTAAGTATAAGAGATAAAACCAAAAACTCTTAGAAAAAAACATACGAGTAAATCTTGGTGATCTCAGGTTAGGCAATAATTTTTTTAGATATCACACCAAAAGTACAAATAATGGAAACAAAGAATGACAAGTTGAACTTTATTAAAATTAAAAGTTTTTGTATGTTTGTGTGTCAAGAAATGGACACCCAAAAAATGGAAATATATATATTTCCAAATCTTTACATCTTACAAAGGACTTGCATCCAGAATACAAAGAGAACTACAACTTAAAAATAAAAACATAAATAACCCAATTTGAAAAATGGTCGAAGAATTAGAATAGATATTTGTACAAAAAAGACATAAAAATGGCCACTCAGCCTATGAAAAGATGCTCAAAATCATTAGTCATTAGGGAAACGCAAATCAAAACCACAGTGAGAAACCACTTCTGATACCAGATGGAAAAAGACAGACAATAACAAGTGTTGGTGAAGATATGGAGAAAATGGAATCCTTTTGCATTGCTGGTAACATAACCTCTTTGAAAAACAGTCTGGAAGTTCCTCAAAATGTTAAACATAGAGTACCCTATAACCCAGCAATTTCACTCCCAGGTATATACTCAAGGGAAATTAAAATATATGTCTACACAAAACCTTGTACACAGACGTTCGTAGCAGTATTATTCATAACAACCAAAAAGAGCAAAGTAAGTCAAATGCACATCAACTGATGACTGGATGAACAAAATGTGGTAAATCTATACAATGGAATATTAATCTGTAATAAAAGGAATGACATACTAATACATGTTTACTACATAGATGAACCTCAAAAAATACATTTAGTGAAAGAAGCCAATCACAAAAGACCATATATTGTATGATTCTACGTAAATGAAATGTTCGAAATATGTAAATCCACAGAAACAAAAGTAGATGAGGGGTCTGGGGACTGGAGGGAAAGGAAAGTCGCTGCTCATGGGTGTGACGTTTCTTTGGGGGTGACTAAGTGTTCTAAAATTAGACTGTGGTGACCTTGTTATTATCTTAATGATTGTAAACATTTTTTAGAAGATATTAATTTTAAAAACAAACTCTGCCAGTACCATTCCCAACATAGGGATGTGTAATACAATTATAAAACATATGAGGAAGTTTGCATTTTTACCCAAGAATGAACTGTAAATTAAAATAATTATCTCTACAATCATTGACTCATACATAAAAGTTCAAAAATGAAACCTCTTTTACCCATATCAAGAATTTATTTATGAATGGAATTAAGCTAATTAATGAAGCTTTAGGTCTGAATTAAGTCAATATGCTAAGAATCTTAGGAACTGTAATATGAGGCTAACTCATTAAAATAGAACACAACAGTAGAAAATTACTTACCCCTCACACACAAGAACACGAAATCAAAGACACATTTGGGCAAAAGTGCATACAGTTTCTGCTACCAGTCTGTTCAGGGCATGCACAACTAAAGTAAAAACAACACTGTCTAGAACACTCTGTCATTACTTTAGTCAACAGATATTTTATCTTAGGAAAAATAAAGAAAAAAAGAAGCAAGCATATAAACAAGTGTAAAGATAACAGCAAGACAGAGGCCCCACATTCACCTGCATTATGCATTTGCAGGCTCCGGAGCCCTCGGTGCCCCAATAGGTAGACTCAGAGGTAAACATGATATAATGTTGACTAATGGATGTAAAGCCACTGAACAAAAGAGCTCTCCTTAACTTGAGTAAAAACAATCCTCTTTTCCTACTATTTTTTCATCTGAGAATGAAGAAATAGTGTCAAAGAAGAAAAGAATGTTCACTGCTAGTAGAGGTATTCGTGTGATATTCCATCCATAACATTCAGAAAGTCACCACATGTCAGCCATGGGATAAAACACACAGAACTAGAGAAAAGTTTAGATATCAAGAGTCCACTAACCTTAACCCATTGAACAGTTGTTTAGATTTATCCAGAAGGTAACAAAAATCTGTGACTGTTTTCCTCTCTCCCTGTGGGATGTCATCTTCAGCACCTCCAGAGGACATGATTTCTTTAAGAGCGAATTCAGTCCTGTAAAAAAAATACGTGTCCATTTACCAAATAGGTGAAAATAAAGAGAAACAAACCTTAGTTATATATTATCTGATAGCATTTTTTTCAAAATTACAAACAAATCATCAAAACAATTTAAGTGTAAGATGGTGTGGGAGAACAGATACTCTCATATTGTTGATGAAAATTGGTACATCCATATTGGAAAGCAATTTTTAGAACATTCTTTAATCCAGTAAATATTATTTGAATGACTATTATGTTTCAGGCCCTGCTTTACTTGTTTAAGAATGAAAAATGTTGACCTTTTCGACCTATTTATCTATTTGATCCATTCTATAAATCCATCCTAGAAATGAAAAACACTTTATCAACAAAGACTTTATTTCAGTGTCATAATATTTAAAAACTGGTAACAACCTAAAAGAACCAAAAAGGGAAATGGCTAAGTACTTCACAGGACACTAGCAACTGCTCTCTCCTGTCTCACTAACTTACAGTTACAGTTATATGATAAGGCAATGATATGGGGATACCTCAGTATAAAAGGGATATAAAAATCGCACCCACACGCAAAGGTATATTTTATTTTATTTTTTAAAATATTTTGTGTATTTATTTTTAGAGAGGGGAAAGGACGGAGAAAGCGGGGGAGAAACATCAGTGTGTGGTTGCCTCTCACATACCCCCTAATGGGGACCTGGCCTGCAACCCATGCATGGGCCCTGACTGGGAATTGAACCAGCAACTCTTTGGTTCACAGGCTGGAACTCAAGCCACTGAGCCACACCAGACAGGCCAGAGGTATATTTTAAAAGCTCTATTTTATTGAACCCAAACTCTTTTCATATGAAATCAGACATGATAACCAGCCATTTTAAAAACAGCAAGTTACCGGACAGTGTATAGAGAATGAACCCATGCTAAACAACAATAAAAATTTTGTTTGTGTTTGCACATGGAAAGAAATCCCTGAGGCGACACAGGGAAATCTGGTCCCAGTGTCCAGTGAACAGAAAGGCAGAGCAGCCCAGGGCCCGACACCAGAGACGGAAGTCAGGGTGCGTGCAGTTGCTTTGGTAGATGTTTTCCTCTCCAACACTGTCCTGTCCAGGCAATTGCTGCTGCAATGCAGGGAAACTGTCAGCAAGCCTGGAACTGTCAAGGGGCTGCGGCGGTGACAAACATATGGGTGGCACTGGCATAGACAGCACTGGGTGTTCCCTGCATGTCCCCATGTTCCTTCTTCCCACCACCTCTTTCCAAATTCTGTGGACTAGGATTTTTAAGAGGAAAAACAGGTCCTGAAAAGTGCTGAGTCTGGGAAGGGGTTTCACGCTAACGCCCCTTGGCTGAGTCCTCTCCTCCCAGCCCCCAGCCACCTTCCCCCTCGGAAGCCAGGACGGGCACAAAGCGGGCACAAACCGGACGGCAGCTTTGTCCGCCCTGCTCCACAGACCTCCTGAGCCAAGGTGGCTAAGATCCCCAGGACATGGGAGCTCACAGAAGACACAGGAAATAAAAATTTAAAGTAAACAAATTCAGGCTGACAGCTCTCGGGACGGTTTACAGGGGGCGTGGAGCAAGAAAAGGAGAGAAAACTCCTGGACATGGACAACAGTGCAGCGACCGCTGGGGGCAGGTGGGCGGGTGGAGGGGGAAGAGGGTCGGGGGGATAAATGGTAATGGAAAAATACAATAAAAAGTAAAGTGTCTAATTGATTGGGATTATAAGCCAAAAAATAAAATGAAATAAATTCAATAAGGAAGGATATTAGAAATAAAGCATGAAGAAACGTCATAATGAAGCAAATAAAATACAGGGTATGAAAAATCACTGAAATAAACAATAGATGAATGGAATGGAGTAGAAAGGATACAGTTGAACAAATAAGCTAAAATACCAGGTTTAAGGTATTCTGCCAAAGGACGTTAGGAAGAAATAAAATACATAACAGAAAAATCAAGAGATAAGCAATAGAGAAATGAAGGAAATCCACATCCACATCATAGTATATTTAGAGAAGGAAAGAAAAAATTCTTGAGGCTGATGAATATTTGCAGATGTAAATTTCTGTAACTTTTCAAAATTAGAGAAAATACAAGACCTCAAACTAAAAGGACTCAAAGAATACAAGTTTAAAAAAAAAAATAATCCCACAGCTAGAAATCTTAAAGTGAAACTAAAAATTCCGGAGAAGCCCCCTACCCTTCCTGAACCATCTGGTCCTACAGCCACGAGGTGGGGCAGAGCACAGCTGTGTCCACACCAAGGGCCGCCTGCAAGGTACCGACTCTGACGGTGGGGTGACCATCCCCGTCAGCACCGGGCCACCTTGCAGGGGCTGTGAGAATTTCAGTGAGGTGAGCAGGGCACCCATGAGGGGCGATGAGGGGCAGGCGGAGGGAGAGCCTAAGCAGGGTGCGGGGGCCACCTCCACCGGGCAGGGCTCCAAGGCAGCAACAGACTTCACACTCATAGGAGGGTTCATCACATAAGAAAATCTACTAAAAACCACTGTGCCCAGAGTTCTCTCTGCAAAAGCACGAAGATGCAAATATAGAAAGTGAGAAGGTTAGAATGAACTTTGTGGACTGAAATGGGAGGTATGGGTGAACGAATGAATTTTTAAAAATATGAACATAAATGTGTGAGGTACATGTGCATGTGTGTAAATATAAAACACATGTACATGATTCCTAGCCCTGTAGATCTGTCTACTGAGAGGGCCTCTGAGCAGTGACCACATCCAATCCCCAATGGTACGAACATACCTAGTTGTACTCAGATCTTAGGGCCACACATCGTTAAAACTACATAACTGACTATATTCCCTATGCAGCACTTTATATCCACATGACTAACTTTGTAACTGGTAGTTTGTACCTAATCCTACCACTCCCCGGCCACCATCTGGCAACCATCAATTTATTCTCCATATCTATGAGTTTGTTTCTGTTTTGTTTTGTTTGTTTTGCTTTTCAGATTCCAATAGTGCAAAATCATATAGTATTTGCCTAACTTAGCATAATATCCTCTACCTCCATCCGTGTTGATGCAAATGGCAAGATTTCATTCTTTTCTTATGGCCAGGTATAATAATATTCCATTGTGTGTGTACATATATATACACTATATATTCTTTATCCATTCGTCTATTAAAGAATACCTAGATTGCTTCCATATCTTGGCTATTGTAAATAATGCTGCAATGAACACAGGTTTTCAAATTAGTATTTTCAATTTCTTTTAAGATTTAATTTATTTTTAGAGAGAGGGGAAGGGAGGGAGAAAGGGAGAAAAACATCAATGCATGAGAGATACATTGATGGTTTTGTTCTAAACATCTTTCACAAGTTTTGACTTCTCCCGGCCTTGATACCCTGCAATCCACATCCCTATCCTCTCATCTCCTCTGGCTACTTTTTTATTTTTTAAAAAATGATTCTATTTATTTGTTTTTAGAGAGGGGCAAGGGAGGGAGAAAGAAGAGCAAGAGAGAAACATCGATGTGTGAGAGATACATCCATCAGTTGCCTCTCACACGCCCCCAACTGGGGACCTGGCCCACAACCCAGGCACATACCCTGACCGGGAATTGAACCGACAACCTTTTGGTTCGCAGGTTTGTGTTCAATCCACTGAGACACACCTGCGAGGGCAGTGGTTTCAATTTCTTTAAATAAATACCCAGAAGTGGGATTGCTGGGTCATAGGGTAGTTCTATTTTTAATTTACTTTTTTCTTTTTAAATTACAGTTCATGTATAATATTATATTAGTTTCAGGTGTACAATATTAATTTTTTGAGCAATCTCCATCCTGTTTTCCATAGGGGCCACACCAGTTTACAATTCCACCAATAGTGCATGAGGGTTCCTTTTTTCCACATCCTTACCAACAAATGTTTTGTTGTCTTTTAAATAATAGCCATTCTGGGACTGTCATTCTTGAATAAAAAGACTGAAAGGAAGGGAGGGAGGAAAAAGGAGAGGGAGGGAGGAAGGGAGGGACACCAGACCCAGATGGTTTTGTCAGTTTTAAAACAAATGTTTAAAAAACACATTAACATTGAATATACAACACTTTCCTCCCAATCTTCATTTTAATAGCACTGACATAGTCTTGACACCTAAACCGTAGGAAGGCAATAAAAACAGGCAAAATTACAAGCCAAAGCTCACATTACATAAACAGCTGTGATGACTTCAAATGTTTGTAACATTAATAGATCACTGAAATTTTAATATAACAGCAAACACAATCTCACTGGTTTACTAAAAAGCAGTTAAGAAAGGCTTATGAATGAAATATATACATGTATCAATATCAATTATATGGGGAAATGCACATGGAAATCTATAAATAAGGTCAGTTCTATTGCAATTCATGGGAAGCATGTGTAAACATACCACATGGGTAAGTATAAAAGTAGAGACAAATAAAAAGGCATACTGTATTGTTGTGGGTTGACTTGTTCCCCCCGCCACCAAACAGCTATGTTGAAGTCCTAACTCCTTGCAACCGTTTACAGGTGTAACTAAGATGTAAGTTAACGTGAGGTCATACTGGAATACACTGAGTCCTTAATCCAATATGACTGGGGTCCTTATCAGCTGAGGAGGAGAGATACAGAGACAGACACCCGCAGAGAGAGAAGGCCCCCTGAAGACACAGAGAGGGAAGAGGGTCACATGGAGAGCTCTACAGCTGCAAGTCAAGGAATGCCATGGACGGCTGGCCCCCAGCAGAAGCTGAGGAAGAGGCACAGAACAGATTCTCTCTCTGAGCTTCTAAAAAGGAACCAGTTGCGCCAACACCTTGATTTTGGACTTCTGGTCTCTTGGAGCATGAGAGCACAAATTCCTGTTGTGGTAAGCCAGTCTGTGAAAGCAATCCGTGCAGGGTGAAGTCCTAACACAGAGTACAAAATGGGCACACAGGCAAAAAAGTAGTGAACGAGACAACTGCTCAAAGACTTGTTCTGCCAAATGCAGAGCATCTGACAAATTACTGAC